GATATAAAAGCTCAAAACTTTTCCATCTGAATTTAGGTCTGCTCCTTTTTTTAATCTCTACCCCTTCTGAGTGCAAAATTATGTTTATGCACTAAATTATTACACAACAGCCTTTTTGATAGCAATTATAACTGGCCTTTGAATAGTACACAGTACCTGGCTTTGAGAAGTGAACATGGCAGCTTGCTTGACTTTTGGAGGTGAAATGGGTTCCCCTGGAGGGAAAAATTATGAGACAGTGTGCTTAATACATTGGGGTGGACCATGGATAACATTTATCCAGAAACTAATTAGTTTCATATCAATTCCAGACTCGTATAGACACGAAACCACTGGAGAGAGAAACAGCAGATCAATCCCAACAACCCTGCAAGGCATACATTCAAAATCAATGTCAATCTTAGTTTCTGTGCTCTGTCTTGCTGTGCATCTCCCAGACTGACTGGGAATTGAAGCAGAATTTGCTGAGATTAATTTGAAACACATACCTCCTTGTCAATGGTGGATTGGAAAGAAAACTGAACATTAAGAAGGAAAAAGCTGTTTGCGAACTTTAAAGAGGATTGACAATTCCCTTTTAGCTTCCATACAGTACATAAGGTTGAAATGTCAGTAGGAGGAAGAGAAAGGAATGCTAGTTGGCCTTGTGATTTCGAGAGCCGCTGTAAGCAAATGTTGAATGTAGAGATTAAAACTATTTTTGTCTGGGTCCAAGTGGGAGCAAGTCTAAGGATTTCACTGCAACTTAATCAAAGGCCGGAAGGAAATCTGCCAGCTGTTACTCCAAATTGTTACTGCTCTTACTTTAAACATATTACCAAATGAGATGATTATACAGAAATCAGAAGCTGATTTCGAAAAAGTGTCTCTGCTCTTCAGAAACATACAAAATAAGGGATCTTTTTGCCATTTTTAGAGATAATACAATGCAACTTCTGTCTACCCGCAAGTCTAATTGTTTGCTTGTTTTTTTAAAAAATAATAATTTAAAATCTGAATGAAATTTGGATAGATTGAACTCTGTCCCCAAAATGGGCAAAGTGAATCCTACTATTGTCTTGTGATACCTAACTGACCAGCCATACTCTAATTAATAGAACGTCTGTTTGAAGACATTCTTTATTTGCAGGGCTGTCTAGTCCAAATTCATTTTCAAACTTATATACCTAAAATAGACAGCCGAGCCTTTTAAATTATCTGTCAAGAATTAGAACAGCAGTCATTTCATTGACACGAACAAAGCCTGCTCTGCTGTAATAATGTGCATTATATTTCAAATCAAACCATAATTTGAATTTATAGATTAATTCAAATGTGCATTCTAATGGAAATCTTTGCCACTGTTGTTTTCCTGTGCAAATGACAATTTTGGAAATGACTTTTTGGAGATTGAAAAACCATCCTTCCTCTTAGTCTTCTTTTCCTTCACTTGCTCTGCCTGCCTATTGAAAGGGACAGTTATAGCACTCCCTTACTTCACCCACAAGAGCTCTATGAAGCTGAGAGGTGATGATTTGCCCACTCTTGCCCCAGGTTGGACTGAAATATTAGTCTTCCAAGATTTTAGCCACTACAGCACACTGTATGTTTCTATCCTACCCGCTTCTTCCTTCCTATTTAACAACTCCAGCTTTTTGTGCAAGAACAGAATGGAATGGAATGGAAAATTTATTTATAGGCCGCCCTTTTCCCTGGGGGGACTCAGGGCGGCTTACAACTTATGAGGAAGGGGATACAAACAATGACATATAAAAACAATACATAATTAAAAATAGAAACAACATTCACCATTCGGGTGGGGACAGATTACAATCTTTAACCCCAGGCCTGACGGGATAGCCAGATCTTGAGGGCTGTGCGGAAGGTCTGGAGGGTGGTGAGGGTACGAATCTCTACGGGGAGATCGTTCCAAAGGGTCGGAGCTACTACTGAAAAGGCCCTCCTCCGAAAAAAGCATGGATCCATGGCAGACATCAATTCCTCCCCCACATCATAGAACAGTGAAGTCAAAATCTAATTTTTTCAGAGAGGTAGAAAATGGAATTGTTCACTGAAGTCAAAACTGAGCCATTCCTAACTTCTTAAAGTCTACTACAGCCACAGAGAGTTCAGTGTGGCTTCCAGTAGGCCATTTCAAATGCAAGAATTGACAATGGAGAAGGTTGCATGCTTACGAAAAATGTATAAATATGGTATAATCGGGAACATTATGTTAGTATTAGGGTGTAAATGGTCATTACCTATTAAAATACACAGAAATGGAACAGAATTAACTCAAAGTTTCAAAAATGAGAAAACATACAAATTGGAAATAGACAGATCTGTCCCTGTGTATACATGGTGGCTGATGACCAGTACAATCCCTATATTCACCCCAGGTTTTCTGCTCCAGCAGCAATTTGATGTGACATAACACCAGACTAATTGTTACAGTGTCCTCTATATTGTCCTATAGAAAGGATGTGGAGGCTCATTGGCTGAGATGCTGAGCTTGTTGATCAGAAAGGTTGGCAGTTCGGCGGTTCGAATCCCTAGTGCTGCATAATGGAGTGAGCTCCCGTTACTTTTCCCAGCTTCTGCCAACCTAGCAGTTTGAAAGCATGTAAAAATGCAAGTAGAAAAATAGGAACCACCTTTGGTGGAAGGTAACAGTGTTTCATGCGCCTTCAGCATTTAGTCATGCCGGCCACATGACCATGGAGATGTCTTCAGACAGCGCTGGGTCTTTGACTTTGAAACCAGAATGAGCATCGCTCCCTAGAGTTGGGAATGACTAGCACATATGTGCGAGGGGAACCTTTACTGGCCCGCAGGGTGCTTAGATCTGGCCCACAGGGTCACCCTGGAAACAGTGAAGGATTGGCCCATGGTGTCTCTGCTGGTGAAAATGGAACTTTCTTTGGCAGAGGGTGCAGGAGGCTGTCGCAGCCGAAAATGGAGCTCGGGAACCCATTTTCTCTGGCAGAGCATTTGGGCCACCACAGGTGCTCCTGACACAAGTGATGTCAAGTTGGCCACATCCACCCTAGCACTCTGCCTCTCCTGCAAGGTCAAACACAATCCTGATGTGGCCCTCAATAAAATCAAATTTAACAGGCCTATTCTAAAGGAAATAAGACATGAAATAAAACTTCATGTCCATGATGAAGTTCTTCATAGAAGTAGCTAAGTTTGCTTAAAGAGAAATTAATTCATTAGCCTACAATTACTCAATCTTTTTTAAAAGTAGGAAGAGTAAGGGATTATTCTAGGTCATTCATGGAACACTAGGAATCCAGATTTTTCCCAGAATTCCTTGCAGTGCACTGACATTGTGTGGTTCCTTCTGAGGGAAGAAGCCATAGATTTTTCAAAAGATAGATTTTTTTAAAAAAATACTACTATAGCCCTATATTTTGGGTTTATATTAAAGCCTAGTGTAGGCATTAAGTTTTCAGGACTACTTACCATAGGAGGGCTCCCTAAACTTGGCAATAGCAATAGCAATAGCAGTTAGACTTATATACCGCTTCATAGGGCTTTCAGCCCTCCCTAAGCGGTTTACAGAGTCAGCATATTGCCCCCAACAACAATCCAGGTCCTCATTTTACCCACCTCGGAAGGATGGAAGGCTGAGTCAACCCTGAGCCGGTGAGATTTGAACAGCTGAAATAGCCTGCAGTGCTGCATTTAACCACTGCGCCACCTCGGCTCCTGGCAACTTTAAAACTTGTGTACTGGCTGGAGTATTCTGGGAGTTGAAGTCCACAAGTCTTAAAGTTGCCAAGTTTGAAGACCTCTGCTCTAGATAGTCCCCACTCTTGCCAATTTCACTCAAATGACATTGGCTTCTTTGTGTCAGGAATTAAGTATGGTTATCTGCAGAAGTGAATTTTAACATTTAACACAGCATTTAGCTATGAAGCCACTAGGAGCCAAGCCCAATATGATGGCACCTAACCATCTGGAGGAAGAAAAAAAATGTTACATCTGCAGACATCTGCAGAGTGATGTCAGTAAGGGACGGGTTTACAGTGAAAAGCACAATAGGCAAAGGAAGATCATAGATGTAAGAATGAAGAACCCTCAAAGCAGTTTCTGGCTACTACTGGACAATTGTTTCTTTCTGTGTCTATCCCAAATCCTAGGATCGGTGAATAAATTAAGTTGTAGATTCTATTTCTGTTAATTGAAACATTGTTTTTCAGGCATTCCTTTAAGAGCCTACTCGTGCTGCTTCTTTTTTTTAATCATCTCTTAGATTGTTTTGATGCTATTAATCTGCTCTTGATTAATTGCAATTTTCTCTGAAATCATTCTTAAAAAGAAATCCATTAGACAAAAAGAAAAAAAATAATTAAAAACAAATTGGCTTGGGAGATTTAGGAAATAGAGTTATTTATCCAAATATTTACTGTATGTATCATATGAAAATTAGTCCTGCTGAATTCAATTACGTGTTAAATGTTTTTATTTGTTTCATTTAAAACTTGTATATGGCACCCCCAAAAAACAAAGTATTCTGAGCCCAACAAAAGCAATTCAACTATAAAATAAAACAATGGGGATTTAAAATCAATGTGAACCTTGGTATATCCTAAATTATAACAAGTTTCACATTGATTATATGAGTATATGGGAAAGAAGTGTACTCTCTGCAAAATATATGCACAATGATTCAAATTCTTGGTTCCAACATTTCTTTTGTAATAATTTTCTGGAAGCATTTAGAAAAATCATCTATTGTAGTCTCTCTAAATTATACATTTACAATATGTTCAGGTAATACAGGCTTGCCTTAAAAAGATTTGACTAAGTAAGTATTTTGGAGCTCTTTAAACAATATAAATGTATGAGGGTGGCGGTTCATTCTCCGAGCTTGTGGGTTGGTTTCTACACCCAAGCTACAGATATTTGCCACTATCACAAAGATAATGTATTAAAATAGGTATGTATGTATGTTAACCTTTATACTGTCTGTTTAAATTTCACTCATTGTCATGTTTTTCCTCTCCCTCCAGGTCCTTTCAATATGTCCCAAGGACATGAGAGCGGATATTTGTGTACATCTCAATCGGAAGGTTTTTAACGAACATCCAGCTTTTCGGCTAGCTAGCGATGGCTGCCTGAGATCACTTGCAGTGGAATTCCAGACGATCCATTGTGCTCCTGGAGACCTTATCTATCATGCTGGTGAAAGCGTAGATGCCCTCTGCTTTGTTGTCTCAGGATCATTAGAAGTCATACAGGATGAGGAGGTGGTGGCCATCTTAGGTAGGATAAAGATGTGGTGGCCATCTTGTATGGCAACTATTACTCTGATACCAATGGGGCATTTGGTACACTTTAATGTAATGTGATAAAGTAACCCAGGGCTGGGTTCCGGCTGCTGCTACTGCCGGTTTGCTCATGGACGCACTGCGTGGGTGTGCACTTAATGCGTGATATGTGTGCATGCACAGCACTAAAAAATGCTTCTGAGCATGGGCAGAAGCAAAAAAACAAGATGGCAGCATCTACAATGCCACCGAGAGAACCGGTTCAGAGGCGTGGCAGGCCAAGTTACTACCTACTTGACCGAACTGGTCCAAACTGGTAGGAATCCTCCTCTGAGGTAATTGTTTAAAATTTCAAGGCACTACTATTGCCCAGTTCTTCTTGTTTAGCAATTTCTATTTAGAAATGTTGTTATAGGTAAAATCCATTGATGAGTTTACTTTTTGACAAAATTACAAACTACAAAAGTTTAGACAGTGTTTGAATCTATTTCTCCCACTTAGCTATTGGGCTTAATTCCTATTTATTTTTTATATAACATAAATATTCATATCTTCCCTTTCCCCTGAAAGCTCATGAATGCCTACATTGAATTTTCTCTATTGATTTTTAACCACAAGAATTCTGTAAGGGTTTGGGCTGAAACAGCAATTAGAAACTAGGAACAAAAATTGATCAGCCTACTTCCCACACCACACCCATGGATGACATGATAGTGATGATCCAATATCTAAGGGGTTGCCACAAAAAAGTGGGAGTCAGCCTATTCTCCAAAGCACCTGGACAAGAAGCAATGGGTGGAAACTAATCAAGGAGAGAAGCAACCTAGAACTAAGGAGACATTTCCAGATAGTTAGAACAATTAATTAGTGGAACAACTTGCCTCCAGAAGTTGTGAATGCTCCAATATTGGACATTTTAAAGAAAAAAAACGGACAATCATTTGTCTGAAATGGTATAGATTTTCCTGCCTGAGCATAGAGTTGGACTAGAAGACCTCCAAGGTCCCTTCCAACTCAGTTATTCTGTTCTGTTCATCCCAAATTTGTTTACTCTATTCGTAAGAGTCATTTTTTAAAAACCCTTCTTTGTGCCCTCATACATTTTGAGAGTAGATTGTGAGAGCATAATTATTTCAAGCTAAATAATGGGCACAAGATCACCTAGATGCAAATATTAATTGCTGTTAGGAGCTGCATATAATTTTCTATTATTGTTTATATTATGCACAATATTAATTGCAATTAAGGGAAAAAAAGGAATGCATGTTATTTTTCTCCTGCCCATGACTTGCTCTAATATAATAATTAGCTAGAAATGTAACAGGCTTGGCTATTGTATGAGCTTGCTAATACTGTCATAATGAAGTTGTGTGTAATATACTAATAGCCTCCCCAAGGAAACATCCCAAAGTATGCTGCTCATCCCATCAAAATGAGAGACATCCTTTTAAAATTACATCCATCAGAACAGAAATAATTCATTCATAAAAACTGTGAATTGTTTGCTTGGCATAATATTGATTTTCATAGGGAAAAATAAACACACCCACCTCATTTAGATTTAACAATGGGTAAAATGAGATAGTCTTTACTTACTGTTAATGCCAGTGGTGAAATTCAACCGGTGTAACAACCAGTTTGCTGAGTGCGCTCCGTGAGCGCACAGTGCGTTTGAAAACAGCTCAAAAACTTACCTTCTACTGCAATCCTGTTAAATCAACAGCTGAGGCACGGCAATCTGCTTTGCTGTGCCTATTAGGCGGGCTTCAAACAAAGGAAATATAGGTCAGTATAGCGTCGGGGCGTACGGGCAGGCCCACCTGATTGTTGGAGCGAACAGGTTCACTCTAAGCTGATCGTCGGAGCTACCAGTTCTCCTGGACCAGTTCAAACCGGCTGAATCCCACCCATAGGGAATGAAACTTTAGACCATAACTTTCTTTGGGCCAAGGCCACATTTGATAACCTGTTTCCCAAAGTAAGGAGCCAAGAATAAATATTAAGATTGATTTAATTCATTTAACTATAAACTTAATTAAAACTAGATGGATCAATTAAATACAGTCATTATGCTTAAAACCTATGTGTTAAACAGGGACGTGCAGTCAGGGGAGGCAGGGGAGGCAGAGCCTCACCACTGTCATCATGAAAAGAAAAAAAATGTAAAAGGAAAAAGCTGAGGTCAGGCTGAGCTAGTTGCTGCCAGAGTCACTGTGGATGACTCTGCTTAGTGCTTAACTGTTTTAAAAAGCCTCTAAATGCCTTCTACAGAAGGAGGCAGGAGAACGACGTGCCTCATCTAGTCTGACATTTTATGATCACTCGAGCAGAGTTAAGCAAGGGTTAAAAGCCTAAAAATTCCTGACGTAGGTGAGGCACGTCGTTCTCCTGGCTCCTCCTGTAGAGGGTGCTTTTTTAGAGGCTTTTAAAAAAGTTAAGCAGAGTCATCCACGGTGACTCTGGCAGCAACTAGTTCAGCCTGACCTCAGCTCTTACCTTTTTCCTTTTACATTTTTTTTCTTTTCATGAAGACAGGCAAGAGCAGAGTTGAAATCCTCTCTGAAACAGCTGGAAAAGGTATGTGTGGGTCGGAGGGAGGGGGAGGAATTCAAACTTCATCCTCAAGTGTAGATCCCTCTCCAAGTGTAGTTTGATTGCAGGCAGAGCCACGTTCTCTTTTCAAACACACAAACACACACAAACACACACACACACACACACACACAGCTGGATAAAATTATATAAGCCCAGCTTCACTGATTACAAGTTTGAAAAACCAATGTGGCTCCGCCTGCCATTAAAGGCTGGGATCGGCTCCAATCCAACTTCTGTGTTTGTGTTTGTTTGAGAGAGAGTGAGTGAGAGAGGAAAGGGCGTATGAGAGATAGTCCAATCCAACTTCTCTGTGTGCATGTGTCTGTTTGAGAGAGGTGGGAGGGAGGGAGAGAAGGGCGGCCTATAAATCTTAATAAAATGTCTAAAAAAGAGAGGGAGGAAAGAAGGGGAGGGAAAAGAAAAAGAATGAAGGAAACTTTTTCACAAAGGAGAAAAACAAATGTTGTCGCTTTAAATTGAAACTGAGCATGCCTGGCTGTGGAATTCTGGGAGTTGAAGACTACAAGTCTAAAAAAATTTGAAACCCCTGTGTCAGTGCCTCACCAGCCATAAACCTCACCGCACGTCACTGGTGTTAAATAACCCTACATATTAAATAAATATCCCATTTCCTCATTTCAAAACTTACAATTTGATGAGCAATTTGGAAAAACTTTGATGGCTGCATTCAAGACTTCAGAGGCCATGTTATCCTGGGATCTAACATTATGCAGAATCATCCTAATGTTAACTGCCCTGGTAAAACATTTTTTCAAAACAGGGAGCACCAAAATATTTACTTAAGGATGTAGTTCTCTCACATGGTGCTGTTTCTCCCTCATGAAGCTGATTTCAGGTGGGATTCAGGAATCATCCTTATCTGATCTTCTCATTTTTAAAATTAGTTGTGCGAGCAAAGTCAGTCTGTGTCCTGAGGTGATTTGGTTTCTCTTTTAGTAAACTTGGTGATCCTCAATATACTTTTAACCATCTGCAAGGAATCAATCAATCTTCCCTCCAGAAAGATCCTTCTCTTTTTTCTGTCATCCTGATGACAACCAAGAAGAGGTGGAACAGATGAGAGGGAAGGAAGAAATGATGAGAAAATGAAAGAAATTGAAAAGAGGATGGAAGAAAGAAAAAATGTGGAAAGAAATCATGGCTGTAAATACTTTAGTGTCTGGTCTTACAAGAGTACTCTTCACTCATGTTCCTCAGATAATGCGGCTCTTCATAGAAACTAGTTCTTAGAACTGTTTTAGCCCTATTATTTTCCAAGAGTCCATGATGGATTACACCCTGTTTCTTACAATTACTTTCAATACCATGCTGTAGTTACTGTACATGAAACCCATCTAAAAAACAAAAAAGAATGAATATAAGAGTATAATCTGTACAAGAGCAAGCAGAGCTGGACTGTTTAGATACATTTTCTGCTATATATAATGTCACATTTGTAGGAAGTTAGCACTCACCACCCTCCTAGAAGAATGAAATATTCTGGGAAATATTAAAAAGGCAGAATATTATATTTCCCTGGATGAGAAAAGGAGAAAAATGATTGTAAAGACAAAGCAGCTCCCCTCTCCCCTTCAGCTCCAAGGTGATAGGATTAAGACATGGCCCTCGGGCCATGATAGGATTAGCCCTCTACCCATTTCACCACATGACACCTTGGAAGGTTACATCACCCAGCAAGGCTCAACCAAGCCTGGGACATCAACAGCCTACAAATTTAACTAAGACCCCTACCCCCTGGGAGTCTGACAGCCAATGGAATACATTTATTACACTGGAACAGGAAGTTCTAAGGGCCCAACAGAGGGTATGAATCTCTCTCTTTCTCTCTCTCTCACCCATATGCTTTTTTCTTTTGCCCAGGATCTCAAACCATGTGGTCCTGTCCATCATTAAACTATCTTTCCAAGCAGCTTCCATGTTTCCAGTGTCTTTCTCCACACTTGGAACTAAACCCAGATGAACATTTCTTCCAACTCATTCTTATTTGGGAGGGCAGAGAATACTCCATCCTGTTAGAAAATATATGAACTAAGATTGTTGTAGAATAAAATGCTTTGGATAGAATGTGGAGATCTAAAGCGTTCAAGTACACATCCTTCTTTCTAAAATGGCATCAGAACAGTGTCACATCCTTCTTAGAGTCCCATTTATCTACAAGCAATTAGCAAAGAATGAATGGAATATATCTGCAGAAGCGGAAATTTCTTTTTTAAAAAAGTGCCTAATAGGGCAAATTGTGTTAAAATGTGCACAAAAAGGGAAACTTAACAGAAAGGAATAAATTTGAGTATCTATGTTAAATCACAGATCGATGTGGAAATTGAATGAAGTGGAGTTGGAATGAAACCAACTAAGATCAAAATTAGACAAAATTGTCCA